TGTGTGTGTGTGTGTGTGTGTGTGTGTGTGTGTGTGTGTGTCAGAAGACAACTTAGTGCAATCGGTTCTGTGGTCTCACCCCACCCCCCATCCCTCTCCAGACAGTGTAGCCCTTGCTGTCTGGGAACTCACTTTGTAAAGCAGGCATCTGCCTGCCTCTGCCTCCCCTGTGACACCACTTCCTGGCCTGTAGTTTCACCATGATATGGGGTTGGGGGATTTGACTAGAGTCATCAGGCTTTGACAGCAAAGGCTTTTACCTGCTGAGCAAGAGCAGCAAGTGCAGCTTTCCAAGGAAACATGTTTGTGTTTTGATTTGGTTTAGTCCTGAGCAGACACCAGGCCTGAGGGAAGACAAGAAGGCAGCAGTCATCTGGGTGGCCATGCTGCACGCCTTTAATCCCAGCACTCAGGAGGCAGAGCCAGGTGGATCTCTGTGAGTTTGAGGCCAGCCTGGGCTACAGATCGAGATCCAGGACAGGCACCAAAACTACACAGAGAAACCCTGTCTCAAAATAAAACCCCCAAAAAGGGCTGCAGGCTGGCTAAAGAGTTGGCCCCTCCTACTGCCCAGCCTAGGTGAGGGCTGTGGACACAGGCTCTGCTCGCTGGCCCTAGGGAGAGAGGCAAAGGATGATTTAAGGAAAGCCATCCTGATGCAGGCTCCTCTTCCTTGGAGCAGCCAATGAAATACAGGTCTCAAAGTCCTCAGATGCCCCTGAGTCCTCCCTCATTTTAAAGAGGAAGTGGTATTTGGGAGATGGATGGGCTGGTCAGTGGACCATCTTTTCTAACACCTGGAGGAGGCAGGTGGAATTAGATGAACCAATCAACTTGGGCCCAGGTTCCCTAGAGAGGATGAGAGATGGACCTTGTGTTTCCTATGTCAGGCTAGGAGACTTTCCTTAAATGTCCTGTCCCAGGAGCTTGGATTGGCACATGAGGAGCTAAAACACAGTCAATGGGAAGAATAGTTGAGGGATTCACTCACAGGCCAGGGGAAGCCGATACAGGGTGGAGACCCAGGCCTCCCTTGGAGGTCAGCAGAATTAGCAGGTCTCACATAGCCCCCCAAACCCTGATAGAGAAGCCTTCAGCTGCCTCTCCAGACCACTGACCAGTGACCGCTCATGGGAATGCGACAGGGGTGGGATTACTTCAGACTTCTTGTTTGGAAGAGAGACAACAAACAGGCCAAGTTTTCTGCCTCCTGTGTTGAGCTGAGTGGGACAGCTCTATTGGTGTGGTTTACACACACACACACACACACACACACACACACACACACACACACACACACCACCCCCACCCTGCTCTCTCTGTCTCTCTGTCTCTCTCTTTTTGTTGTTGCTTTTGAGTAACATTTACAATCTGCCTCTGTCTGTCTTTTATCATTTTCTTTCTCTCTTTCTTTCTTTTCTTTTCTTTCTTTTCCTTTCCTTTCCTTTTTCCGTTCCTTTTTCCTTTTTCCTTCCCTTCCCTTCCCTTTTTCCTTTCCTTTTTCCTTTCCTTTTTCCTTTCCTTCCCTTCCCTTCCCCTTCCCCTCCCCCTCCCCCTCCCCCTTCTCTTTCTTTTCTTTTCTTTTTTTTTTTTTTTTTTCCAGACAGGGTTTCTCTGTGTAGCTGTGAGCCTTTGCTGAAACTCACTCTGTAGTCCAGGCTGGCCTGGAACTCACAGAGATCCTCCTGTCTCTGCCTCCCGAGTACTGGGATTAAAGGTGTGTGCCACCACTGCCCGGCTCTCTGTCTTTTATAAAGATCGCAACTCTTGCCTCATTTTTCTTTACTATTACAAAAAGAAGAAGACAGTTTGGCTTTGAAAGTTTTGATTTTGAAAATCCTTAACATTCACAAATTCTTTTACAATGGATCTTTTTTTTTTTTTTTTTGGTTTTTCGAGACAGGGTTTCTCTGTGTAGCTTTGCACCTTTCCTGGAACTCACTTGGTAGCCCAGGCTGGCCTCGAACTCACAAAGATTCGCCTGCCTCTGCCTCCCGAGTGCTGGGATTAAAGGCGTGGGCCACCACAGCCCGGCTACAATGGATTTTTTGGAAACTGTCTTTTCTAGGATTATAGAACAACTGGTCACATTTCCTTGTGATCTGCATTCTAATTTTGATTTTGGCACTGAGATAACATCTCATGCTTTGTTACTCTAGACTTTTGTCTCCAATGCTATCGTGTCATTTCTGAGGAGTTTTCATTCTCTTCAGTTTTTAGTTTACCAACCATCGCAAGGCCTCTTCCTCCACTCAGGTCATGGAAAAGAAATATTTCATTAACTTATAATAAAGAGCAGTATACTGTAATGAAAAAATAGCAGAGAACCTAACTCTAGCGTACTGCTTGCAACAATATGATTCTGTTAAATAACTTCACTGGTGTTTAAAATTACATCTGCATTTATAGAAAATTAGATAGATATTGCAAGTACTGAATGTCTGGAGACGGGGTATCACCTAGAGAATGGGCAATCATACAGGAAGCAACGTGCGTGCGTAGTGGGGCGGGAGTGCCGTGAGTCGTTGGCCACTCCTAGTGGGTATTTAAGGCAATGCAAGTGAAGTGCTGTGGCAAAAGTCATAATTTTTCACCCTGTGTCGGTCTCCAACCTGGGTCGTTGTTTACAGTTGCATCTGCTGGTGCAGGTGAGTAGACGCTGTCTCAAGGCTCGGAGCTAAGACCCCTGGTCCTGGCACCCGGTCTCTGGGCTGCAGGGGAAAACTACAGCTGTGTGGGGCGCCGGGATCAGCCCGGGCACAGCCTGCAGGCACCTCGGCGGAGCGGGCTGTGTAGGGCGCCTGATCAGCCCGGGCGCCGCATACCGGCACCTCGGCGGAGCGGGCTGTGTGAGGCGCCTGGATCAGCCCGGGCACCGCGTACCGGCACCTCGGCGCAGCGGGCTGTGTG